CGTATCCTTGAATGTGAATTTGATACACCAATTTATATTGACAATTTTTTCCGCCTCGTAACGCTTAACTTCCTTTACAAAAAAAAAAAAAAAAAAAAAAAAAAAAAGAAAAAACATTTTTATTGACGAAATTAAATTTGTATTTAATTGACAATTTACACGTCGTGATAATGTAATCGTACGTTATCTTGTCCATGGCACCTCACAGTTTTTATAGTCTCTGTTCTCCTGTGCGTTTCTGGAGAACATTAGAAAATGTTTTTTTTCTTTTTTTTTTTTCTTTTTTTTTTAATTTAAAAAACTTGAGAGAAAATGTAAAAAGCGCGAGAACGAAGATCTCAAGATAGTCTCAATTCGAATTCGTTCGACAAGTAGCCGATTAATTAGAGCGTCAGAAAAACTAGAACTTCATTCTCCGTACAGCTGTACCTTACACAGAAATGACACGCGCGCGTATAATTCAACACGCGTTGAAAAAAAAAGAAAAAAAACTGTAGAAGATACGAGATCCAATATTCCACATGTATCGCATATTAAAAATCAGATGCTTAAAGCTAGCGCCGAGAACTAGCTGGTGCGCGTGATTCGCGATCGTGATTCGCATGTGAGATCCAACGCGTGGCGTTGGAGAGGAAATTTCGCCGATTCACGCATGTCAAACTGACGTAAGGTATGCGACCCACGCGTGCGGAGAACGTGTCAAAAATGTGTAATGTGTATAGGGATATCAAATATGCGCGAGAGAGATGTTGGAGAAGAGCAAATTCGTTAACTCCAATAATCTTCCAAGTTCTCCCAAGTATGCGACTGTGTAATTGCGTTGTAGATTGACGGAACACACACACATACAATCCAAATATGCGTATCCCCTCGCGTATCTACAAGACCACTAGCGAAAGACGAAAAAGTTTGTAATTTACATGTACGACGTTATTTCTAGCATCGGTAATCGAAAATGGGTGATCATCGTCTTGGAAAGCCGCATTTGTCGAGAAAACGCGACAACAACCGTCCTAAAAGAAACTCGCGCGAAGAAAGTGCTCCTCTTTCACACAGTTTTCATTGTTCAAGTGGAGACAACGAGAAGAAGGCGATTGGTGACCGGTCCAGGCCGGTGAGCGAGATCTAACCATTGCCGTCGCAGAAGAGTACCATCGATTACTGTGTCATCGTAAAGTAATACCGAGGTGTATTACATGCAACGCGTATATCGGCGATCGAGAGCATCTTACTACGCGCCGAGTACATCATCTCATCTACGTGCACAACTCGACGAATGAGGAAAATAAGGAGAAAGAGAAAAAGGTCATTGCGTTTTTACGAAATCTCTGCGTGATAAAAAGCGCGTGTTGCGTCACTTCTGCGCGTGTGTACGTATATCCGATATGATGCGAATGTGTGTATATGTAATTGTCGATAACACTTGTCGCGTTCACCATATGTTATATCGTACATAGATATGGTATCGTTTTTAATCTACATGCGTGGAACCGGCAGGCCGGCTAGATGTTCTCGTAAAAGAGAGAGAGAGAGAGAGAGAGGGGTGCGTTCTTCTTTCTTAGATGTACTTGTAATACCGCGATTGAGATCCGATAATATATATATATATATATATATTATACATATATGTATATTTGACGTTTGTAACAACGTGACATGGTATTCTGTTTCGTCCGCAGATCGAGCGGCACGGCGCGGAACGAGCGTGCGAGCGTGTCAGCATTTTTGGCTCCGTTGCGAAAGAGAAGAAACTTGTTCCGTGACGTATTGCTTGTATCAAACGATGATAGATACGTCAACGATGTACTATTTCTGGAACTGTATGGCGATTTTATTATTGTTAGTAATTTTTACATACACACATACAAACATACATCTGTGCGAGTTGTTCAGCTCCTCCGTTCTCTCGTGGATTTTTTTTTTTCTTTTTTGATTTGTTTTTCTTTTTGCCACTTTGCTTTTTCCGCATTTCTTCTGTCACACACATTACACAGGACACTGGCGATTTCGCCCGCTCCCGTCTCTCAATCCTTTTTGTGTACATATACAGTGAGGTATCCATTTAATTTTCTGTAAAATTTTTCGTACAAATATTCTCACGCGTTTAACATATTTTTCGTGCAACAGCGTGTGGTCAGCGATATTTTACTCGATAAATGCCGTATGTGTGCGAGTGCCGTAAGTGTGCATGTTGTGCGTGACGTGAGCGAGCGAGCGAGCGAGTGAACGTGCGATAGCGTGATATGCGAGTGACTATACATGTTTTGTACACATATATATATATATACATACGTGCGTGTGTCCTCCGTTCTATGCAAGTTTATCAGTGTGAGAGCGTGCGAATTGGTACGGGCTTACTTCCTGCGCTGTAAAATAGTATTTTTTTATAACAGCGACACACACAAGTGTACGTAAAAAAAAACAAAAAAAAAAAAAAACCAAACCCATGTCGATAGGACGATAGTCGCGTGTTTAGCGCGAGACAAATCTCGCGCGTTCGTGGAAAAATAAAAACTTTATGGAGAAGATTATACATACAGAGACTTCAATTCCTTTAGCTGCGCGCTTTTGGCACAAGTGCTAAGAGTATCTGAATTTCCGAGATAAAATTTCGCACGCGTTGTTGCGTGCGAGAGATAATTGTGTTATTTATACGTAAAAACAAATTAAAAAGCTTCGCCCGTCTCTTCATTTTTAATCTAATAGATCTTATATAAACATATTTAAATATATATATATATATATATGTATTTAAAAAAAAAAGAATAGAAATATATTTATTACACGATATGTGATTTAAGTAAAGCATTTTTTTCTCCGCAACGGAGAGTAAAAAGAAAAGAAAAAGAGTATTAAAAAACCTTGCGTATATTAGAGTGAAATCTCGCGGTAAAACATGTTGTGATGTGTACTTTAGATGCTATAACATGATTGCGATTGGCGTTCAACTCATATCAGAGACACAGTCCGTTCGTATTAAAAAAAAAAAAAAAAAAAAACGAATTGAACGCGACACCATTTATGAAATATTACGTGCTAGCCTCAGGATAAACAAATGCGTCACTTTTTTTTTTACGGATGCGGCTAAGAGGTTGAAGATCAATCTTGACTATACTACGAACGATCCACGTATTTAGATTAAACACAATTTAAATAACGCATGTTATATACATATATATATACTGCCAGCCAGCCGAGCGAGTGTCCACGGACACGTGTCTTCAATTTCGTTCGATTTCGTACTTTTGACAACCCTTAAAAAAAAAAAAAAATAATCGAGCGATCGACTGTACTTTACTGCTATTAACTACGTACCACTACGGTTATATAAGTATATAGATGAAAAAAAAAACAAAAAAAAAAAAAAGAAACGCGGGTTCAAACTCCTATTCTCGATCGGTGGAATCAATCCAAAACAGCGATTGGCACTCAAACATACAACCCGTAGACGAGTGCACAAAATAAATTGCGAAATATACAATGTGTTCTCTTTTTCAGGATAAGAAAAAAAAAACACGGACACGCATAAATAAATCGTAGATAGAAACAATTCGCCCAGCGAATTAGAATTCTCGTAAACAAACAGAAATAGACGATTCAGCAGATTGAATGAGCGATCGGATCTTATTTTAATTGTAAAATAAAGAAGATAAAATAAACGATCGGTCAGGGACGTAATTTGCTTGTAATACACTTATGTAAAAAACCTCATTATGTATCACGGTCAATTTTTTATTGTGCACACGAGAAGTGACAATATTTTTCTAACATATGGTCCCACACAATACGTTGTCGTAGTATACGTTATGTAAAATAATGCATTGTACTCCGCGAACAAAGTCTGATCGTTTCGAAATCCTGCGAATACACACACACACACACACGTATTATATATGTAAGCTTATTTATTACAAAATCTTAAAAGTGATTACGTCCCTCTGATCGCAAAGTCGTTGGTTCATACGGCTATTTAACATAGGGATTTAGAGTTCGAAATAATTTAATTTAAGTGTGTGTTCTGCCGCGCGCGCAAGTGAAATCAAGTAGAATATTATAGCAAAACCAAAAAGTGAGACGATGTTCAGAGAGTGTTTCAAGGGAAATTCTAAATGTGTCGATGATTTCTCGATGCAATTTTTCTCGCACCGTGTGCGCGATCGCTTGCACTCGAGAAGAGTTTTACATTTGTACAGACGGCGAAAATCTTGTGATTCTTCTAAGTTCCTACGTTAAGTCTTCGTACGAATTATTTCCAAGCGGACAGAACGAAACGCAAAAAATACAAAAAGAACTAGTTGCTAGATCTTGAAGATGAATTTCGCGCGATTGGTTGTCGAAGAGAGACCGATTGTTGCGGTCGAGCTATACATGTGTTTTAGAATATACTAGAAACGTACGATGAGATATTAGAAGCGTCGCGTAATTGGAGCAATTCACACATTACATAAACAAACGGCGTATTGTATATTTCTGTTTTTCCGAGAGCGTATACGCGAAGTTAAAGAACATTTTAGCTTTTAGCTTCCTTCGTTTACATCACAGAGAGATAATTAAATCTACAGGATTTTTTTGAGAGAAATTATTTCGAAATTATTTCTATTAACGCGCGCACGCGCGCGCTGTTCTTCGATTGTAAACAACTATGCTATTTGTCCTGAGTGTACAGTTGATCCATTATTGCATAAATCTTTTATACTGCGAAAGATTGCAAAGTAATCGAACGCGAATGAATTCCCTTAAATAAGATTTTAAAGACTTTGACCACGATTTTGAAACCTGTACAGTTTTGTTATATTAATACAAATGTTTTGTTAATTATAATCGTTCTACTTGACACACATGCACACACACATACAGAATACCTTGTTTCGAATGGATGATCATGAAAGCAGTGATGTAAATTTTCGTCCGCCGACGCAGTTTATATAGTCAACGACATATCAGCATATTTGTTAAGCAATTTGTTAGGCTGAAGATTTCACTTAACAGAAGAGAAATTCTCGAGAATTCGCACGAGAAAAAAGATGAACGTCTTTTTTTTTAAAGAATTCTTGAAAAAAAAAAAATGTAATTGTTATCTCGATAGTTCAAGTATGTGCTGAGGAAACTAAATTATTTTTCTTTGAAATTTTTTCGATTAAAAACGCACGAGAGATTACTAAAAACAAATAAAACACTTTTTTTGTACATCCATTTTTTGTCTTCTTTTATTTATTACTCTGCTCACAACTTGCAACCTCACTTCCTGCATCTACTCGTCTCGCGCAATGATACATACAAAAATGTATGTACGTAAAATGTTGAGTAATTTATATAAATAGTTTTATCCTTTTTTTTTTCTTACTTCACAATCTTTGATTGAAAGAAATCATATAAATATAAAAAGTCATGTAAGATGTGTCACTTCAATGTTACTTTGTCATGTTTTAATAAGAAAATAGTTTTATGAACTTTCCTCATGCGTCGTCCGTATGTGATACAACGTCTTCAATTTGTCCGAAATTACATCTGGCGCTCCGGACATTAAGTCCCGCCCCTCGAGTGATTTTGGAAAAGCTATAACGCTTCTTATACTTGTTGCATTACAAAGTAAACAAACAAGACGATCTAATCCTGAAAAAAAAATATAAGTAACGATCTACGTATTACTTCAGTTCGCGGACGTGCAAAATTTATATTACATGACACAATGTGATACCTATAGCTATTCCGCCATGCGGCGGCGCTCCGTACGACAAAGCCTCGAGCATGTGCGACAACGTTGTTTCGTCTATGTTTAACATTCTCAATACTTGTTTCTGCAAATTCGCGTCGTGGATACGAATGGAACCTCCCGCGATCTCCGAACCGTTCAAAACCAAATCGTAATGTAAGCCTCGCACCTAAAAAAAAATACACAAACGGTATTTTGAAATCGGTTATTTTATTTTGAAATCTTGTTTTATTTTACCTTCAGAGGATCGGTTGTTAAATATTTCATGTCGTCCGGATGAGGCTGCGTGAACGGATGATGCGTCGATTCTATCGTTTCGTCGTATGTGAATAACGGAAAATCCGTGATCCACAGAAATTCATTTTCGAATGAGCGTATTTGTTCACCTTTTGCTTCTAATATATTTGTGAATTCAACACGTAACTTTCCCAAGAGTTTCAACTGAGATACACAAAAATTGTTACTGAATAAAAATGATTTATTATCAAAAATTTGTAAAATAAAGAATTGTTATACTCACCGCGTCAATTCGACGCCCAATAGCAAATAAAACCGCATCTCCTTCCCGCAATTTGCAATATTGCGATACATTATCTGTTCCATTTGTTGAAAATAATTTCTCCAATTGTGATTTCCACAAACTGTTTTCGATCTTCACTTGAATTAGCTTCGTAGTTTTGAAGTTATCGTCACGAATTTTAGAAAATTGTTCTTTTGTTGATTTTGTCAAGTACTTCTACAACATAATAAAAAATATATTATATTATGTTAAAATGAAACTCGAGTTAAGTGTAAATGTCTATTGAGAGAGAGATACATATCCTACCGATTTATTTGAAAAAACTAACGCATACACGTCTTGGTTGTTATGTTCGAGTTTTAAAGTTTTTTTTAATACTGACAAATCTATAATTTGTGTCAGATTTTGTATCTGTAACGGTTAAAACATAAATTAACTTTTACCTAAGAGATAATAGAAATTGCGTTATATTTGTTTACATTATTAATTCTTACTTGATATGGTATTCTCAGATCTGGTTGATCGGTACCATATAATTCCATTACATCCTCATACATCATTAATTTGAAAGGCGTTTTTATAGATCCTAATTCTTCTGGCCATGAGTACGTCAATAAGTTCTCTATTAAATTCATTATTCCATCCCGATCAACAAAGGACATTTCAATATCTAGCTACAACATGTGTAACTGATTATAAAAATACAATAATTTATGAACAATACAATATTCACACGTGATGCAATTACCTGTGTAAATTCTGGCTGTCTGTCATGTCTGGCACTTTCGTCTCTATAACACCGTGCAACTTGAAAGTATCTGTCAAAACCTCCTACCATCAAAAGTTGCTTGAATTGTTGAGGACTCTGCACCAGTGAGTAAAAGTGACCTGGCTGTCTTGTGGGCACTATAAATTCTTGCGCACCCTAGACAAATGTAACAATTAATAATTTTTAGTGATTTACAAAATGAAGAAAAAAATGTTTTATTAACATACTCCAGGTGTACTTTTAAAGAGCGTTGGTGTCTCAATATCCACAAAGCTACACTTATTGATCAAAAATTCACGCATTTTCATTATAAGAGAAGAACGCAATCTTAAGTTCCTTTGCAATTCAGGATATCTCAATGAAAGATATCTATATTTCATTTGCTGGCTCTCTTTTGCCTTGTTAAATTCTCTAATAAATATAGGAAGATTTGTTGATGCCACACTTAAAACTTCCAAAGACTCTACATGTACTTCTATGTCACCAGTTTTCATTTTCTTATTTTGCTGATCTTCAGGTCTTGGTATAACTTTGCCTGTTATACTTAGAACACTTTCATAAGATAAATTCTGTATAATTTCCATCAAATCTTTTCTCTGAAATTGTCAAAATTTTCTCTATATAAATTTTGTTGTGGAATAAAATTGTAAAACAGTTATGAATTATGCATTTATAAAAATGATTTCACATACATCTTCTGGTATAACTAGCTGTGTCGATCCATAAGAATCTCGCAATGTTATAAATTTCCCCATTCTCTGAAACTCCAACCAGCCATTTAACTTGACTTCTTCTCCGATATTTTCTGTTCTCAACTCGCCGCATGTGTGCGTTCTCAAAACATACTTGTTAACCGGAGAAACTGTCTTTGAAGGAAGTACTGTCTTACCAACTAAGTTGTGCACACATGCCGGAAAGATACGGGTTTGGTTCCTTAAGAGAAACTAAAACAGAATTTTTTTATATGTATATTTTCTATTAATTGGTATTGATATCTATAGAATGATAACAACATATGTTTTTTGTTCAACTCTGTACAATGTTCAAACTTTCTCTTACATTTTCCTTGTGTAGATTACTTATCAGTGGCCACGTGCGATATCTTCTTATGTGGGCGCAATATTGCACAATTCTCTTAACGGCAAACATATTAATGCAATTTTTTAGTAATTGTTTACAAAATTATTATTACTTTCATACACATGTGTTTACATGCTATATACAAAACTCCGACTTGACTTTTTAATGTAAAAGGTGTGTTGAAGGAAAACCAGAGTGACTTTTTAATGTCTCCCGGGCTCCATATAAAATCTTAACCATGGCCACGTATAATCATTTCGAGAGTCGACAACAGCGATCTCATGTGACGGACGCGCAAAGTTATCACCGAGTTCAAAGAGAGAAGAGAAATCTCCTCTAATGCGCATAGGAGAAGAAATGCGGACAAAGTGGAGATAATGTCGCGAGCGGGATTGGCGGGAAATACTCGCTGGCAGCCAATGGCTGTGAAGATAAGGAGCTTTCTAGTAGGGAAGATGCGCGAAACAAACGAGTTTTGTCTATAAAATTGCCCGGTTTCTCTTTTCTTCACTTCTCTCTTTGAACCCAGTGTATACAAATAACACATCAACGTCATCAATCGCCATAATTGCGAAGAAGATACACTGAATCAAACTGATTACATAGGATTGCACATGTTGCTGCGGTGACTTGCACGATATTCTTACAATTCTATTCGACTGTTTGAAGTGGTGCTTGATTCATCTACTATCACCGATTATAGCTTATAAGGTCTTATTTAAATTTATTTTGTTTTACATGAAAAGAGAGAATACAAAGGTTACCATCTTTACAGCGGTTTGTTGAACGTTTATTATTTTCTAGGTTTTTAAATCATTTTTGCAATATGACATCTTCTGAAAAGAAAAGTGTTCTCTTTGTGTTTGGAAATGACCTTAATTCACTAGATTTTATGGAGAATCCTGAAGTAAAAAGTTACATCAACAATAAGTTTATATCATGTTATACATCTGTGCTAGGTTTGAAAAAGAGTAAGCATGTTGTGTGTATTCGATATGTTTAGCAGAATATAAGTGTCTTAAACTATATATATTGCAAATTATTTTTACATATTAATTACTAAACATATTTCTTTTCTTTGATTATTTTAGGAGATTACCTTGAATCCTCATTTGATTGTATCTTTGATATTTTCAACAAGCAGTGGACAGATGTGTTCATAGAAGAAACACTAAAGATTCTGAAACCTAAAGGCAAAATGATTGTTTATTTACCACCAACAGGACCTTTGCCAGAGGAGCAACTATATCTAGTTTCACGTCCTTATGTAGAAAGAATGACAACAATGAGAACAATAGGTTTTAAACATGAAATTAATCCAATGTCCTTGGATAAAAAGAGTGATGATTATATTGTGCTCAAATATTTGACAGAAGTATATCATGTACAAATAGAGTTTGTTGGCCTGGCAATAGGATACAAACCTTTTGAAGTAAGTTGATATTTTTATTTTGTTGATAGACATGGGCAAAAAAAAAATAATCTTTAAATAATGTATTCTATTTCTATTTTCGACAAGTAATTAATATTTCTTTATAATTCAGGTAGGCATAGGCAAAATAATTTTTAAATAATGTATTATGTCATTTCTATTTTCAAGAAATAACTAATATATTTTCATAATTCAGATAGGTTCTAGCGTACCCCTGTCATTAGGGAAGAAAAAACCTAATGTATGGAAGTTAGATGATCCAGTAGATGAAGATTTAATTGATGAAGATAATCTGTTAGATGAATCTGATCTTATAAAGCCAGATGCGTCATCCTTAAAAGGTAAGATTGACATCTAATTAAAATCTATTTTTTTCTCGGTGTACGGGATAGTTTTGGTAAAACAGCCCGTTACAATTACGATCTGAATTAGTTTGTTTTTATATGATTTTAATTAGATGTCAATCTAACCTATTTTATTAAGTTGAATATAAAATAAAAACATCGAAATGAACTTCAATATACTTTGTATATACAAGTTCGTAACGGTCCGTTACGTTCGGACACGAAAACACGAATATATTTAGTGACCTGCTTGCAAAGTGTTCAGCTAGAAGTAAATGTTAATAACAATCATATGTTTCTCAAAGTAACATATGGAAAATTTGTGCAATTTATTAAAAGATGTGTAATAATAACTTATTTTTTTTTTTTTTTGCAGTCTGTGGCACAACAGGAAAAAGAAAAGCATGTAAAGATTGTACCTGCGGGCTTGCCGAAGAATTAAGTGGCAAAACTCCGAATGAAAGCACCGTTAAATCTTCTTGTGGAAATGTATGTTATATATCGTTTCTTTTTAATTAAATTTCATATAAATTAAATTGTTTATAATATATGTAATGTTATGTATATGTGTACTACTACTTATTTTTTGTATAGTGTTATCTCGGAGATGCGTTCAGATGTGCCAGTTGTCCGTATCTTGGGATGCCTGCCTTCAAGCCAGGGGAAAAAGTAGTTTTGCCTGAAACTCAATTGACTGAAACAACTTAAACTATTATTTTTTAAGATATGTCTTATTTAAAACTAAAAAAAACAAACTAAAAACAAAACTTAAAAAATAAATTTAAAAAAACTAAAACTAAATAAAAAATATTTACAAGTATGTAAAACAATTTAAAACTATGTAAATAAAAAATAAATATAGTAATAAATGGTTTTGGCAAAACACATTGTGCTTTTATTCATTTTAGTGTAAATACACTTGAATTGTCTAATGTCTAGTGACATGTATAAAAAAAACTCTTGCTTTTTAGAACAAAGATCTTGAGAGAATTGCCAGCGACGTTTTTTCGTCGTCGTTCATTTTAGCTTGAAAATATCGACTACATAACAGTTCATAAGCCAACTCGACTGAATTGCACTTGCAAACTGTTTTTTTTTTTTTACTGTTAAAGTGTATAATCAGAATGTCGTATGAACTGACTTTTATGATCAACTGAACCACATCTGCACCATGGTGTAAGTATACTTACATCGTGCACCAAACCAAACCTTTTCGTTGTAAATAATTGTGACATGAGGATTCGATGTCAGTGTGATATAAAAAGTCGCAGAGCATTACTTATATTGCGTTACATCTCAAACAACGGATAAAATATACATATAGGCATAATATATTTTTTCGTAAAATCTGTCTATTATCGCATAATATAAGGTTAGTTAAATACACATCAAGTTTTAATCGGTCCTTTTAATAGCTCAAATAGAGTTAATTTATATTTTCAAAAGTATATGTTTATTAGGTTTCTATATAAGCATATATCTGAAAAGAAAAGCATTTCTCTTTAATGCGTGCAACTTGATTTTTATATTTCAAAAAGTAAAAAAAATGAAGATTTCGATATTTAATGAAAACGATTTTGTCCTTCTGGTTGGAGAAGGCAATTTCTCATTTTCTGTAGCATTATTGCAACACAACTTAAACATTAATCTTATTGCTACCTGTTATGAGTCCATTGCAAATCAGGAAGCTACAAAAAGAAATATAGAATACCTTCAAAGTAATGGTTAGTAAGATCGTGTGCATCACACATTTACATACAGAAAGAAAAAATATAATTAATATAAGATTTGAAAACAAAAAAAAATCTATGCTTTTCTTTTCAGGTATCTCTTTGTTGTTCAATGTGGATGCCACAAAATTGGAAGAATGTTCCTCATTAAAGTACAAAGTGTTTGACAAAATTATTTTTAACTTTCCTCACACCGGTGGCAAAATGAGAATAGAAAGAAACAGAGAGTTGCTGAAAAACTTTTTTGTGTCATCTGAAAAGATGATAAAAAGAAATGGTCAAATATTGGTGACGTTATGCAATGGTCAAGGTGGAACATCTGCGGATAATCCTAAAAGACGTTGGGATGATTCTTGGAAAATTGTAGAAATGGCCGCGCACGGAAATTTTCTATTAACAAGAGTAGAACCATTTTTGTGGCAGTCTTTTCAGAACTATGTCGTAACAGGCTATCGCAGTTTAGAAAAACAATTCCACACAGCAGGCTCGTTAGTACATTATTTTATGAAAAGCGAACCACCCACAATATACAACATCATACCTATCGATAAAATAAGCGTTTCTAAGTACAACTCCGATAATATTACATGGAAAGAAGTGACAGATAATATTCAGAATGTATCAGATTGCGTTAAGTGTATTTATCCGTGCAGCTTTACGTTAGATATAACTTTGTCCACCTGCGCAGATTTTAACACAGTTGAATTTTACGAATCTTTGTATAATTATGCAGGATCGATTATAGATAATATTGAATTAATAGATTATTACCTGTTCGATGATAAAACAATAAAGAGAACTTACAGGATAAGTTATAAATCAAATTATATTCCATTGTATAGAAAAAGAGTAGTTGATTTACATCAGAATTTAATTACAAATTTTGTGGAAAATAAATTTAAAGTTGTTGTTTCTCGATAGTCTGAACGTCATAGCTAAATGTGCGAACTCTATTAGAAATCACATACTCTCGTTGAAGTGGTACATATGTTTATCATTTATCTTGTTATTAGTACACATGTATGTGTATATAAAATTTATGTATCATAATTATTTCTAGATGCACTGCCTTTGTCACTTAAGGATCACTGCGTGTAATATACTTCGAAGACAAAGCTGCGAATTTATATTAAACAGAAGCAGACGCAAAGTCTTGGATAAAAATATACTTAGGACGTTATCTGTGACCGCATGCGTTCGTGAAGAATCTATAGCTAAACCTTTACGTAGTATAAAACCAAAATCAAAACAAGACACTGTACAATATTTTGTCGATATAAAACGGGTAAAAACAGGTTGTTTTGTCAGATATTATCTTTTTTTTTTATGAAAGTGTGTGTAGGAACCTTTTTGTTAAATAGGTGAGAACGATTGGAGGAAATGGTGGCGATGGGCAAATAACGTTCTTGCGATTGTGGGTCAATGATCGAGCCGGTCCCGACGGCGGTGACGGTGGACATGGCGGTCACGTAATGTTCAAAGTAAGATCATTACAATATAAAAAAAAACACATTATCTAAAATATGATTAATAATATCATTATTGCAAAAAGATTACGGAAATTATAACGTACAGTTTTCACACACAGGCGTCACAAAATGTGAATGATCTAAAGCATGTAGATAAAGTGATTCAAGGTGAAAATGGAGAGGATGGTAGGAGCAAAGATTGTTTCGGTAAAAATGCAGAGCATAATATAGTGGAAGTGCCTGTCGGCACGATTGTCCGTGATTTGAAAGGTAGAATATTGGCTGACTTGAATCAGATCGGAATGATGTTCATTGCTGCGAGAGGCGGTGCTGGCGGGCACGGCAATGCCTTTTTTAAATCAGATACTCAACAGTCACCTCAAATATGCGAATATGGCGCAGAAGGCGAAGACTTGCAATACGTATTGGAAATAAGAAGTATGGCACACATTGGATTAGTAAGTATCGTACGAACATTCTTTTTAGTTGTCGCAATTATTATTGTTAAGTATTATAATTATCTTACACGTATAGAATTTACTAATACTTGAAAAAATAACGTATATTAATTTATAGAAAAAATGCAGTTACATGTAATCGCGTGTTATAAAATATTTTTATATACATGACATATGTTCAAGAATGCAAAAATGTGTTTGTATGTATTTAGATTGGTCTACCAAATGCCGGTAAGAGTACACTCCTGAGAGCAATATCCAGGGCTAGACCAAAAGTAGCAGCGTATCCTTTCACTACTTTGAAACCGTATATCGGCATAATACAGTACGATGATTACGAACAAGTCGTAGGTAATATAGAAATTCAGTGTAATTTATAAAATAAACAACATTTCTCACTTCATTATTATGTTATTATGTTTTATTGTTTTGTTTTAGTGGCTGATATGCCTGGCATTATAGAAAATTCACACAAGAACAGAGGACTTGGCATTACTTTCCTAAAACATGCGGAACGTTGCGCCGTTTTACTATTCATGATCGATATTACACTGGACAAACCGTGGACAGCTTTAGAAACTTTGAAGTACGAAATCAGTCAATTTAATGAAAATCTCATTGCTAGACCTCACATCATTGTGGCCAATAAAATGGATCTCCCAAATGCTCAGGTAAACAATTAAGCTTTCACGTTTATTAGTTTATTGCCATATACTTGTGGAGTTATTTAAATCATTTAAGTGACAGTAATTAGATCTTGAATTAGTTCTCGCAACAATTGTGATTCATGTTTCAGGACAATCTACAGTTACTCAAGGAGCACGTAGATTCGCCAGTAATTCCTATTTCGGCCAAATACGGCACTAACATTTCTACTTTATTAAAAGAAATCAAAATATTATACGACAGTATAAAACCTGACACGTCGAAAGAAGACGCCGATACTATTATATAATAAAAATATTTTCACACAAAAAACTTGTATAAAAAGACTTTTTGTAGCATCATAAGCGACGTGTAGTTTCTGCGAAGAACATATGTTTTATCACGCACTTCACTTGCGGCTGGTTCAAGATCGTTGAAAACCACCTATTTAAATTTGCGTATTGACTTTTAAGCTGACGATCCAGCACGTGTTCATACAAAGGTAGTAATGCGGTGAAGACCGATATGTCCGCAAGACTGGTCCTTTCTCCTACCAAATATGTTTTTGCACATAATAAGTCGTTGAACCGTTTTAGAGTCTAAAGAATGTCCGCTTTCGAATCCTCCGTTGCCTTTACATTCGGTCTCATGCCTTTCGATACAGGAAAATCACTACTGGAGAGTATCCAAGTACTGGCTGCCGGTAAAATATGATTCCTCGCGTAAATCATCCATTGGAATACTTGACTGGACGCAATCAAATCGTCTTCACGCCGCAGCTGTGAATTTGATAAAAAGTATGCAATAGCATTGCTTTCGCTTAACGTAACGTCTGTTGTTTCTAATATTATATCGCTAGAATTGTTTTTATCGTTTTCAATTTGTTTAACGGTCAAACATTTGCCGCTATATTGCGCGGTTATTTCTGCCAAATAGCACTTCGTGCTCCATTTGTTCGCGTGAAGTACCAATTTTGCGTTTTGTTTTGACGGAGTTTCCATATCGAGTGACCGAACGTCATTTTCTAAAGTTTTACAAGTATTCTTAGCAATAATATTGTCTGAAAGCAGACACAAATTTTGATAACCATTGTGAATTTATATGTAGACGAATTATTTTAAATTTTAAATCTTACTTAAACTAAGCTTCTCTTGTTATTGCGCTATACCATAATGAAAACTAACTATAACAGAAAACAAACATTTCAATACCTACCTATAATACCAAGTTTCTGATTAGCAAACTCAGTTGCTTTGTTTACTACTTCGTCCAGACCTGCTATGTTACTGCCCGAGGCTTGCGCGGATTCAGCTTTCCCGCCTCCTTTGCCTTGCATTACAGATGTGATCGCTTGAATCCATTCATTGGCTTTCAGTCCTTTGGATACCGCGGACTATAGAAATAACGCACGATGTTACGATCTATTTCTATTTTCAATGCAAAGTTTTTGATTGAACAATTTTGTCACCTTTGGAACAGAACTGAGAGCAAATATCTTCTTGGCGTCGCGATCGACGCTTACAAGCAAAGCGCTGGTCTCCGGCGATATAGCTCGAATTTTCTTCAATGCTGAATCTAGAGCTTTCGTATTACTGTGTGCTTCTAGAACCTCGACTAACACCTGGCATCCGACTTTAGACTGTATTATGGCTTGAGCAGTTTCCACGACTGTGTTAGCAATAGCTGCTTTCGCTGCTCGCTCTTTGTCATCGAGCGATTTCTTTAATTCCTTCAACATAGCGCGCATCTTATCCTGTGTATGAAAGAGACAATTTATATTTATAGTGACGATTTACGAGAGTTATGTTCGATTGAGAATATTTAATTTGCAATTACCTTTCTCCATCCTGAAATAACAGCATGCGATATGTCTTCCGTCAATTCTACTATCTTCTTCACGTATTCTTTGGAGTTTGTTCCAGACTTATCGGCTTCGATCGTCGATTGAAGTTGAGTCAATTGATTTTGTAGCAACGTCGCTTTTTTGAGAGCCTTAGCCGCTTCCGGTCCGGTAAGCGCCACTATGCGTCTGATACCTTTGGCGATAGCATCTTCACTGGCTATTACGAAATCACCTATGTGGCCAGTGTAATGCAAATGACTGCGGAACAAAATCGTTCGCTTAAAAGAGACAAACATAATTTGAAAATATGTATCTAATTATCATACATATAGACATCGCGCACTCACGTTCCGCCGCAAAATTCTACGCTGGTTTCGAGAGCAGCTGTGCTTAGAGGATCTTTTTCTAAATTCTCTACTGGCACGCCCATACTGACGACACGCACCGGATCGGGATACGTTTCTTCGAACATCGCGCGCAAGCCCTGAATTGTTTTCGCCAAAGCTAAGTTACTTTCCTTAGCATAAATTTTCTTATTTTCCTTGATCATATCGTTGGTAATATTTTCCGTATTTTCCACTTGTTCTGTTGTCATCGGTCCTGTTGTGCAAATATTTAAGAATAATATTATGATAAAAAATGTCTTCTCAGTTTGTATTCTTTAATGTAAAAATATACCTTTGTTCGTAAAATCAAAACGTAGCCTGTCAGGTGCAACCAACGATCCTTTCTGATCAGCTTCTGTTCCCAACACTTTTCTGAGCGCGTGATTCAGGGCATGCGTAGCGCTATGATTAGCCATTACAAGCCGTCTACGTGTTGTATCGACGTTTGTGTGGACTTTATCTCCTTTTCTCAATGTGCCTTCGCCCACGGTGCCAATATGTAACACATAACCGCCTCGGACTTGGACGTTTTTTATGCGAATTTCTGTAGCCTTTTTTAAATAAAAAATCACAGAATAAACTCTTGATTTATATTAAATATAAATTAAAACAAGTATGTATTTTTAACATACCTCATCGTCAACTTTCACTAAAAAGCCTTCATCGTATATTTGGCCACCTTGTTCCGCGTAAAAATTCGTCTTATCCAGTAGAATTCCGACTTCTTCGCCGGAAGATACCTCATCGACGAAAGTCTTGGCGCGTCTAAGCGCGATTACAGTACCGATGCACGTTCCAAACTCGTATTCCTTATATTTAGCGGAATTGATCACTTTATAATTGTATTTAGGTGAATCATCTGTGGGTCCGATACCTTGCTGTTGCAACTCGGTGATGGCGTGAACGTCCAAATTAATTTGATCATCTACTCCACCAGCTTTATTTTGAGAAATTAACTATAATAAAATAAATTGTTTTTAAACATGTTACAACGATTGTATCATAATAAATTTATTGCTGCACAATGAAACAATACCTGCGCTTGTTTCTTAGATTCTTCGTATCCTATCATGTCGATTTTCAATCCTCTTTCCTCTGTCATTAATTGAGTAAGATCTATCGGGAAACCATAAGTATCGTACAAACGCCACGCAACATCACCTGGCACGATATCGGTCGACTCCAACTTTGCTATCGTTCGGTTCAACAAATTACGACCGCGAGATAAGGTTTTCAAAAACTGAGCTTCTTCCTCGTTCACAATATCTATTATGCTTTGCGGATCTTTCGTTACTTCCGGAAAAACTTCACCTAAATGGTAAAATGTTAACTTTTGGAAATAATGAAAATGCAAAGACTATTTTTTGTACAAAACATAAATATTTACCAAGAAGATCTACAACTACATTCACTAGAGATCCGAAAAATCCCGGCTTAGCGTTTAATTTCTCAGTGGCGTAGCGTACGGCGCGTCGTAAAATTCTTCTTAGAACGTATCTGTGTAAAAACCCAGTAACCATGTTACATAAACAGATGTGTAAAACAGTAAGTTTTTAAGCAATCTTGCTTACCCTCTACCAGTGTTATCAGGCATTCCTCCATCTGCCAAAGCAATCGTGATGGTTCGAGCATGATCGGCAAGAACTCTATATGCCATATCGATTCCGTTAATATCGTCAGCTCCTACTTTGCCTTGGTAAGGCGGGGCGCCTGTACCTTTCTCGATTGCGGCGAACAAAGGTATGAATAAATCGGTATCATAATTGGCACGTTTATTTTGAATTACCGATACCAATCGTTCCAAACCCAAGCCACAGTCTATATGTTTCTTCGGTAATGATTTAAGACTGCCGTCTAATTCCCTTAAATATTAATATTAAACTTATAACATTTTTTAAATACTAGCACAACACAGGCGCGCGCTACGCGCACGCTATTGTTATTTTTATTTAACGTGTTGTCAGTGAACACAACCTGTCACCGCGATGACAGATAGTATATACGTCTTATAAACCATATATAATACACATATGAGAAATG